ACCTGATGTACCTGGAGCTGTCATCTCTGACTCAGAGGTTGACGTGTAATGACCCTCCTCCATCTTTCACGGTCGCGAACTGCCGTTGCACATTCTGCTATCTCCAGCCCGGTCCATGTTTCAATGTTGTCCATCCATGTTACTCTTTATCTTCCTCTGGCTCTCCTGTCCCACATCCTCCCTTCAAGACCCTCTTTCACAATGGTCTGGTGTCGTTTTTTGGTGACCAAAGTATTGTATTTCTCAGCGTTTTATTTTGTAAAGCAGGGTTTCTCTCAGATGTAAACTTCCAAATAATAACTCCATCAACTCACCTTAATGACTTTAAACTTCATTACATGGCAGCTTGCCACTAGGATGTAAATCGTTACCTCAGAATTACAGCGTTCTATCTGACATTTTTGGCCGTTTTGAGATACTAAGACCATGAGATCAGAAACAATGGTATATCTGCTCTATCAAAATCGTAAGATTATTCTGAATCGTTATCAAGATATTTAAAGAACCGCTTTCGAAAAAGCTTGACATATTGTGAAACTCAAAAGCTTTGACGTCAAATTTCTCAAAACTCGGTACTGAATAGATAGAACTTTATAATTCTAAAGTAGCGAAATCGCTTATTGCTAAAAACTCTTCTTTGAATAACAAATGTTACATTATTCCAGATGAAATGACGGAATATCGCAACCCTTACCCCGAAATCCAGATCGACACCTTGGAGATAGACTTCAACCAGAACGCATCGCAAGCGGAGCGGCCATTGCTTAGCAATGGTCTGACGTCACTGCCGGAAGTGTGTGAAACATCCTCCTTCATCCAATCAGATCCTTCGGCTCGCGTGACGTTCAATGTGGGTGGAGTCGTGTTTCAAACATCTGAAGCTACAGTGAAGAAATCAACCAATGACAGCTTTAAGGTAGGGTGGGAAAAGATGAGGTAAAAAAAAAAGTTAGGATTAAAGTTCTGAGGAGAGTATCTAAAGATAACGTAGATTTCCTTCATGATTTTTAAATGTACTATATTTTATTTTCAATGTAAGTGTTTTTACACCCCATAAACACACTTTTGGATCATGTAGAAGACGAGCTTTTTTTTTTTTTGGTTTTTTTTTTTACCCTGCCCAATTCTATCATCTGGCGCTTTTTTGTTTAAAAATAACAACAAACTGTGCTGCATTTTGGATTTTGAAATTAGCTGTTGGTCTTAAAATAAACACACGGGAGACTGTTTTATGTATAAATAAACACAGGAATAAATAAATAGATATATATGTTACTTCACTCTTAACGTTTATTGCGAAGTTACACACCTTAGTGTTGCCACAGCCCTAACTGGAGATGGTTACAATAACTGGTTAGTTGTTAATTGTTTAGATCATGTTAGTCCTACATTCCTCAGCTGTTTGAGTCACGAGGTGGGCACCCTCTGTCCCGCTCCATAGAGGAGTCATCTTCACAGTGTCACCGAAGGTTCCGAAAGTTTGCACGCAGTCTCATGCTATGGTGGTGACATTGTCAGTATTACTACCTAAACTACTTTTATCTCATGGATTGTTTTCAGCCGGATCGCTTATCGAAAAAAAAATAAGTACAACGACTTGTGGGTTGACCTGTTAGACGACTCACTGTCCCAGGGCTAGTGGAGACATCACAATACGATGAAACCACTTTACCCGGGGGAAGCCCCCCTCCCCCTATACTTCTTAACAGTACAGCACTCCCCATGCTACATGTAAAACACAAATTTTGAAAAATAAGATAGTATAGTATGATAGTAATAGTAATGAATAGTTTTAATATAACATTTTCTAACACCGCAAACAAAAAACATGACAAATAATAATGGCAACTGAATTTAAAAAATGTTTATGTGTAACGTTTCCCCATTATTGACAATGTATTAATGTGCGTGCTTGTTGGAATGAGGGTGAGCGACAGATAGTTGAGGATAGTATAGAGGACCTGAGTTAATACTGAAAGGGTGCAGTAGGAGGGGTTATATCTCATGAGACTTGTGATCTTTTGTACGCCGAAATATATTATGGTCCGAATAACGCTATTTTGAGAAAATCAAAGGTAAAGTTTTTGCCCCTTGTTCACTTTCTTTAAAAGACAATGAGAATTTTCTCTATAACTAAACAAATATACACACCAATGAAACCAAACGTCTCCTATAGGTAGGGCAATGCCCACTTTTGGTGTAGGTCAAGATTTCAGGAAACCCCCGAAAAACTTCTGAGTCTGAGAGTTAGTCATCATATCGCAACATGGGTCCTGGAATTTTTGACAGGCAGACCACAATATGTGAAGCTAAACAACACAAAATCTGACGCAATTCTTTGTAACATCAGTGGTCCCCAGGGGTGTGTTTTGTCACCAGTTTTGTATACAATATATACCAACGATCATAGAAGTATATATAAAACAACACGCTTAATTAAGTTTGCAGATGACTCCGCTATTATTGGATTAATAAACCATGATGAAAAAGAGTATTTCGAAGAAATATGTAGGTTTTTTAAATGGTGCAATTCAAATTTTCTAAAAGTGAACCTCTCAAAAACAAAGGAAATGATTTTTTATTTTAGAAGAGAAAAACCAACAATCCCACCACTGGTAATTGAACAAGAAACTATTGAAATCACGGATTCATACAAATATCTTGGTCTTACAATCAACAACAAGTTTACATGGCAAAATCACTTAACAATATCGTTAAAAAGGTAAATCAGAGGTTGTACTTTCTGAGGAAACCAAAGTCTTTCAATCTGAATCCATCCATCCTTCAGATTTTCTACACCACCACAATAGGAACTTTGATAAATTTTGGTATCACTTGCTAGGATAGCAATCTGGGAAGGCATCACATTATAAAAATAAACAAGTTGATAAGAAAGGCATCAAGAACAATTGGTAGAGACCTAAGTAACTTTGAATATCTGCACAATACAAACGTTCTAAAAAGGCGGAAATAATGTTTACTGACCATACCCACCCACTGACATCGGAATTTGAACTATCGACCCGCAGTAAACGATACATTTCCAAAAAAGCAAGAACAGACAGATATAGAAATTCATTCGTACCAACTGCAGTGAGGTTACTAAACACACAGTGCTACAAATGAAACAGACAGAGAGAGAGAGAGAGAGAGAGAGAGAGAGAGAGAGAGAGAGAGAGAGAGAGGGGGGGGGAGAGAATGTTTTACGGAGTGGGTTGTCCCAGCACGTGAGACATGTATTTACTTGGCCTAATGTCCTGACCTGTTGTGCGTTTGCGTGAGTGCCCCTTTAAATCTAACTTTTGAAACGTCTACTGCCATTTTAACGACCAAGACAAATTTCTCCCTGCGAGATGAATGAAGATTGTCATTGTTATTGTCATTGTCATTGGCATTGTCATCTGGGTTAGTCCGCTTGTCCTTAAAAGCGACCATATAGTGCCTTATCTACACCTCTATGGGGACAAGCTTCTGACACTGCCTGTCAGAGCCAACCAGGGTTGAGAGGGACACAACATCCCAGCAGAAAATCCGGGAGGCTTGACTAAATTCTTGGGTCCATTTTAGAATATACGTCTCAATATGTGAAAAAGTATCTTTGAAAGAAAGAGAAAATAAATTCAGATTCCGTTGATAGGTGTTCTCCAAATTTCTATTGTGGTCGGGTGGCATGTGCTTTGGTATAGTGTGCTACTTCTTTCCTATCACTACCAGACGTCTATTGTCTTTATCTCTTCTCCTTCTTCATCGTGTTTGTTACTCTCTTGTAACCACCTCTAATCTCCGGTACTTGTATAACCCTTACACTCTTGTAACCACCTCTAATCTCCGGTACTTGTATAACCCAAATGGGCTGCAAGTGCCGTAAAACTCTTACAAAAGCAACTTATTAAAAAACCCTACTACAGCCAAGTCCGGTCTAAGCCAACTACGCCACAGCGTCCTTTTTTCTCCGTCTCCCCTTTGTCTAGGTGTGTGTGATGGGAGGTCGTGACTGTACCGTCCGGTGCACACATGGAAAACTCATACCTCTTTCTCACACGGCTAAGTATGACGTCACTTGTCAGAAAAGAGATATGAATGGGGCAAAAATTGCCTCTTTTTCATACTCGAAGTCGTACGACAAGTGACAATTTGTTTCCTAGTGTGTGCCATGAGGCGATAGGCGATCTTGTAGACTATTATGTCCAACCTCATGGCACATTAGTCAGATTCCAGTCCCCACATAGCGAGCTTTCTTGTTCTGGTTTGTCTGCGAATGTTCATGGCTGTCCGTCCACTAGGATGGTGATATCAGAGGCGGTGGCTACATTCTAAGATTCTGCCACTTCAACATCTGCACAGTGTTGAAAACAGGTGGTTAGAGAACGTCACAGGCTGTTCCTACTTCTGTACATTTTTTTCTGACTCACGCCGTTTGTAGGTTCTCCTTCTTGTCTTTCCTTCTATCGTTTCTGAATATCTATCTCTTGCTTTTTCCATGCACTAAATAAACAATGTTGTGCCGATGTGCCTATCTTTACTCCAACAAACAACCACCCAGTGTTGAAATGGCTGCTTAACTCGCACTATAAAATTTCATAATAACAAATCAAGACACAGCACTGTGCACTTCCAGGGCAACAAAACGAACACAAACGTACATATTTACTGTGTACTTTCTTTTTCCCAGCTGGCAGATCCGGAATTCCTGAACTCCTATTACGATGCCAAAAGGAAAGAATATTTCTTTGACCGTGACCCGGAAGTGTTCAGATCCGTTCTCAACTACTGGCGGACTGGATCTCTTCATTTGCCTTCCACGATGTGTGGGCCGCAGGTATGGATGTGCCCCAAGTAGGTTGTATTTGTATTACAAGGTCTTTGGGGTGTTCATGTTGGACACTGTGGGAGGTCTTCACTGAACGATAGGGGGGTTATTTAGTCGTTATATCAGTCAAAACATTGTTACAGAGGAAATGGCAAAAGTATGAATTATTGCAAACGTTGTTTGTTTTTTTAAGGGGGGATTGTTTTTTGTTTGGATAGTTGGTTGGTTGGTTGTTAGTTTGTCTGGTGGAGGGGGGAGTGTTTGTTTTGGGTTGTTGTTGGGTTTTTTTCAATTTCAAGTTTGCAAATAGACGTGTAAAGAGGGGGTGGGTGTTTCAACTTGTTGCAACTATCTTAAAGCTCAATCAACATTACTTTGTTCCCCTGCTAGATGATGGTGACAATTTTAAATGTCCAACGACCCCATTGACACAATTATGGTCATTAAAAAGTTTTGCTACTTTGATCGTGCAATAGCAGGGCTAAATGTTCAATAATGGGCAACAGAAATCTTTCGTTATAATATAGAATATACTAGACAAAATATATTCTCCCATTCGGGAATCTAGCTCACGTCTTGTGCGTGTGACAAAGAAGAAAGCAACTACATGTATTACATTACAGTTGCCAGGCTGCACCACGTGACAGACTTTTGCCTCTTCATCCCACAGTACAACTGGTGTAACGGACATTTTGGTTTTATGAACACCCACTGCCCCCTTGCCTTTCAAACAAACGATATTCATCGAGGAGCGCTTTGTGTGTGGGGGGGAGGGGGGGTTGTTGGGTTTTTGTTGTGGGTTTTTTTTGGGGGGGTGTTGTTGTTGTTGTTTTCTGTTTGTTTGTTGTTGTTGTTTTTGTTGTTTTTTGTTTCTTTCTTCTGATTGAGATCGAAAGTCTCAAATATTTAGACGGAGGGCCATAGGGTCAGAAACAAACAGTATTCAGATTTTTGTTGAATGCATGTACGCACTCACGTAAGCTACTTTTTTTCCCTCATATCAAAAAAGAAAAAACAAATTGACTCTTTGCATCTCACAGGGTCGAATTTACAGCCATGCTTTTGAACAAAAAGTTTTTAGATTTCATATATCGAGCACTTTTGTTTTTTACTCTCAGATCAAAGAAGAGCTTGACTTCTGGGGCCTGAAAGAGCTGGATCTAGAGCCATGCTGCTGGCACCACTACAACTCGTGGATGAAGACGATCGCGTCGCTCCGCCAGCTGGAAAGAGACAAACGTCCCCTCTACCTACAGAACAAGCGGCCGGAGGGAGCGCGAGAGAAGAGCGCGTGCTACGTGAGGCGGGTAGCTATGTGGAAGCTGCTCACAGACCCGTCCTACTCCAAGCCTGCCAGAGTGAGTCTAGAAGTCTGTCGTGAACGAGACATAAGGAGAGAATAACTTTGATTTTTTTAAAGCACTTTGCAGTCACTAGACGCAATAATGCGCCGGTGAAAATACTCATTATCCGTTTCGGTCACGTTCTGCGTCAGGCCTGAGAAGTCAGTTGCAGTCACTTTCTTCTGGCTGGGTGACCAGATTGGGTATTTTGTACTGCTGTCTGTGTGACTGCAAAGTATTAACGTTGAAGAAACACATCAAGACAGGAAATTTTTACATTTCACTTAGGTTTCGGTCAAAGGCTAAGGCTCTTTTTTCAACGTACATACACGCACGGACGCGCGCGCGTACACACACACACACACACACACACACACACACACACACACACACACACACACACACACACACACACACACAAATATATATATGATAATAATATATATATTCATATAGGCCCTATATTGGCATATATATTCATATATATATATGAATATATATATATATATATATATACACACGTTATATTATATATTATATCATATATATACAAACACAGACATAATAATAGGCAGACACACAAGCACACACAAGCACACACAAGCACACACACTCACACACACACACACACACACACACACACACACACACACACACACACACACACACACACAACACTTACACACACACACACACACAAACTAACCCACACACATACTCACACACACACCTACAAACACACACACACACTCACACACAAACACACACACACACACACACAAGCACAAACACACACACATACACACACACACACACACACACACACACACACACACACATACACATTTATGTGAGTGATGGGCGTACACGCGTACACACTTGGGTGACCTCGAGGTACAATAAAGGTCCCTTCTAAATGATCTTCATTGTGCCGACGTGGACGAAGTAAAAACGTCCGAGCAATCAGGTCGACACTTAACAACCTTCCAGGGGGCGCTCCGTTAGCTCAGTTGATCACGCTGGGCTGGTTTTGAATTCGTGTTTCTTTGTAGTCTTTTGGGAGCTCTTTTTTTAAATTTGTTAATGTGGGTATTTTTACGACACGATTTGGATTATTGAAGGAGAGTTGGCTTACAACCCTGCCAGTCAGCCTCACATCCCGTACTCGGTTCGGTCCTGTCGAAAATGTACGTTAAATTCGGAGATCCTGCCGAAAGATCCTATTGAAAGAGGTGTCAAACCGACACATGCGTGCTTACCAAGATAATAAGTGACCTTTCTAACGCTTTAACCTCTAATTCTTCCAATTCTTCTATTTTCCCTAGTGAAATTGATGGGAGAGCTACTCGTATTATTACTTACTTACCACTCCACGGTGCGTTGATCGTGCATGTCGAATTTTTGCTGGAACAAAGATTGTTCTGTAAGCTGCTGAGATAGGTGAATACACGTCCTCCCTCCCCCCCCCCCCTTCCCCCCCACCCCCACCCAAAAAACAACTTTTTGGGAGATCAAATCAGACGTTCTCAAACGCTCGACGACGATGACTCTATTTTATTTTTTTATTTTTTTTGCAGCAGTCTTAATCATTGTCTGTCCATCTGCATTTTTTAACCATAATATGTGTCAAGACACGGTGGAATCAGGCGCTCGTCAATTTTTGGACATGTGGAGTAATTGGTATCGTCTTAAAGCTTGTTCATTTTCCTTGCTTTCAGAGAAAAGAGTATTCATCTATCATGAATAGAGGTCGAGATATTTGCGATTGAAGGAGGTGGGAGTAGCCTGGTTTCAGAAGTAAAATTAACGAGAAATGACAGCCAAATTTTGGCAACTTCCTAAGCTTGATTCAATAAAATCCAAACAGAAATGTGATTTTAAATGGACATACAAGGCGTTGAGCCAAAAAAATAAAAATTCAAAAGAAAACAAATGTCCAAACTGACCAAAAATTGCCGATTTCTCGGATTTCCTCATTTTTACGAGCGCCTGATTATATTACGATGCCTCACATATGAGGTATTGTATACCACTCAGCACAGTTGTAGCCCTGTGGTTAGGCTACCGGACTCATAATCGTGACTTTGCGGGTTCAGAAGTTCGATCCTCAGCTCGGTCCGATGTTGTGTCCTTGGGAAAGGCACTTTACACGAATTTCCCTTTTGGCTCGGTTCTTTCGGAGATGAACGTTAAATTCAGAGGTCCCGCCTCTTAAATAACCTATTAGTGTTGATATGGACGTTAAAACTTCACCATTTCACCATTTTCAGCACAGGTTGGCCTAAACAGGCAGGGTCGAAGCAATCTGCTCTCCATATGTTATCTTTATGGCAGGAAAACACGCACTTACAATGTATAATTATCAGTATTATGTTATCGTCTGGCAGTTGTTAACATGGGCGGAGGCCAACAATTTTTTTTCCAGTTTCTTAATCTTTGATGTCATTTGCATTTGGTCAAGAAATTAATATTTGTTTGTTGGAGGAGAATTTCTCAAAACTAGGTACAGAGCAGATGGAACTGTGTAATTGTTTAAAGAATTGAGCCGCTTTTTCCCCTCTATTTCCTGTAAAAAAAAATATTTTAACAATGCTTCCAGGGCTTAGTGCATTTTAACAGCTTGCAGGTGACATACTTGTGGTCTCAATTTGGTCGATGATGGTGAAAAAGTCCAAAATTAAAATCACTGTCTTCATTTTTAAAAATACAGTATATACAGTTCTTACAATTTGGTAGGGGGGAGGGGCAAAAAACGTAATGTTGTTACGAATAAATTAAAAATAATAAGGCAGTTATTATCAAAATTGTATTCTTAAGGGGGGGGAGTACACACCCAAAGTCCCGATTCGGCTCAAAATTATGAAATTCGACTTGTAGGTTTGTTTAGTTTCCTGGCAGCCTCTCCTACAACTATTCCATGGCTTATGAACCCCCTAAATCCTTATTTCCCCCAAGACTGGGCATGTTTGTTACCACCATTTCCTCATAAAGTCAACATTTTATTTTTTTTCATTGGCCGTTTTCTCAAAACGCGATTTTCCACTATACTTTTTTTTAATAACCACCATTTTTTATCCAATCTTCATGAAATTTTCACAGAATGAAGAGAAGAGGTAATACTAAATATCTATCTGTTGAATTTGTTATAGATCTATGTGCAATTGATTTTTGTTGGTGGTGTCCGAAGTGTGGATTTTTACAGATGTTTCGCAAACTTGAATACTACCTCAGGAAGAAATTCTTTAAAATATTTTCTAATTCATTTAAGAAAACCACAATAGACAAATCTTTAGATCTAATGTTTGCTTGCTAAAAAAGCAATCAATTTCCAAGAAAAATAAGTGCGGTATTCATTACGTAAGACATGTCAACAAAATCCAATATGGCCGCCGTTTACATGGAAACGAAACTTTTTTCTCAAATTTGATTGCGGATTATAAAACTCCTTACTATGCTTGTTATATGTGCGAAATTTGGTAAACTTTAGTCCTCTAATAACCGAGATAGCCTTCAGGTGCCCCCCCCCCCCCCCCCTTTAAAAATATTGACTTTGGATGTTTGCAAAGAGTTTGTTTTCTTGGTTATACTATTCAGTTTTTGGGGTTTGTTTGTTCTTGCTGTTTGTTGTTTTGTTTTGTTTTTTAACTCTCCTGTAAAATTGTAAAAACTGCCTACTACACTGTGATTCTACAAAATGACGGCAGACTACACGTAGGGCCTATATGTACACACATATCTGACACCCGCCCACGTCTCTGTCTGTCCCCCACAGGTCTACGCCTACGTGTCTCTCTTCTTCGTGATCCTCGCCATCTTCTCCTTCTGTGCGGCCACACACTCCATATTTCACATCGACCAGGACGGCAACGGCAACGGCAACAACAACAACAACAACACCATCATCGAAAGCACATTATCCTCGCCCCTGACATCCATTCTCTCATCATCGCCGCTCTCGCCAAACTCCACGACGGCCAACCCATCCGTTGTGGCTGTCACCATGACGACAAGGACAGCGTCGCCACGTAACACGACAGAGAAGCCCACGGTGAGAGCGCCCCTCGTCCACCCAGCGTTGTTCTACATCGACATCATCTGTCTGGTTTTCTTTACCGTGGAGTATTTGTTAAAACTGATCGTCGCCCCGAAAAGATGTAAGTTTATCATTAGTTTCAACGCCGTGATCGATGTGTTGGCCATTCTGCCGGACTACGTGGAGATCATTATCCATTCTTTATATCCAGAATCTTCGGGGGAACCGAACAATTTCGTCCAGACAATGCCTTTTCTGAGGCTCCTACGAGCTTTCCGAATCTTTCGTTTAGTTCGCAGAGTGCCCGGGCTGTGGATAATGGTGTACACTCTCAAAGCCAGCTTCAAGGAGCTCTCGCTCATGCTCGTAGTTCTACTTGTCGGAACTCTTCTGTTTTCGTCCGTCATTTTCTTCGTGGACGACCCCAAAGTCTTCACCAGCATCCCTCACGGCTTCTGGTGGGCCATTGTTACCATGACAACCGTGGGCTACGGCGATATGGCCCCGGTGACGATGTGGGGTCAAGTGGTGGGCTCGTTCACGGCGATCTGCGGCGTTCTCATGATTGGGTTCACGATCCCGAGTCTGGTGAACAACTTCATCACGTTCTACCAGCACGTCGACTTCGTGGTGCAGAAAGAGCGGCTCATGGTGGAGCACCACCGCGAGGAGATGGCCAGACTCAGGAAGAGGAAGAAGAGCGAGGTGGTCGGGAAGTGGAAAGCTGCCGTTGTGGCTGCCGCGGTAGATGGCTTGACTGCTGGTGGTGGTGGGGGTGGTGGGGGTCATATAGAGGATAGTTCGGGTCTTGACTTTCCACATCGCCGGCAGGAGACAAGGCGGGAATCTCAGCCAGTGGTGCAGTGACGTTGGTGATGTCTCTGCTTTGGAGCGCCAAATCATGGAAGTCAAGATCAGAAGGATGGGAAGTTGTACTTGGGCAAGCAGTCTACTTTCTCTATACGTACCTCCCAGCATGGTGTCAGTAATCTAGGGGTTAGGGTTCGGGGGTTTGAGCCTCAGCTCGGTCCGATTTTGTTGTGTCCTTGGGAAAGGTACGTTTCATGAACTTCCCATTTGGCTAAGCCCTTTTGGAGATGGACGTTGAAAACTTGGAGTTCCTGTCTCTTAAATAACCTAATAGTGTTGATAGGGGCGTAAAATGTACAACAATTTCACCATTTTTCATACCGCCAAGACAAAGCTGTATCATGCATACTACTTTAAGATCGTCTGTCATGACGCAACAAAGGCTATCGGTGCAATGGAGCCTTCTAAAGGACAGTTGGTTTGACTGCACTACGCTAAGACGACGTAAGCGAAGACTGTGCCTTCTGTCTCGTCAACAACCCCCCCCCCTTCCCCCCGCCCGGACAGATGTTTGACAGGGGGGAAATGAACTAACCACACTGGAGCACCCATCAACCGCCCACTCGGAAGTGCAAAGAAGAGGGCACCGTACCAGGAAGGAAAAGTATTAGTAATCAGAGACCACAGACTATTGTTTGTTGAAAATCACGTACATTGCGTATAATTATGTGGTATTTACTCGTACATTTGAGGATAGAATTTGTAGTGGTAGGAGTCCGTGTGTTGTGTGCCAGCCTTAGAAAGGTTTCTCAGCTTGATGAGTTTTTGGGACTCGTTTGTTATGTTGTGTTTGTGTGCTTGTGTATCTGAATATTATTTTGCCTTTGTGCGTGTGTGTGTGTGTGTGTGTGTGTGTGTGTGTGTGTGTGTGTGTGTGTATGTGTGTGTATGTATGCATGTGTGTGTTGTTTATGTGTTTACGGTTCTTTGAGTGCATAATATGGTTGTGTACACTTATGTGATTGAGTGATTCAGGGAGAATAAATAAGACAAGGAATGTTCTTAGGGTAGGAGGGGGAGAGGGGAAGGGGTGCATGGGCATGTGTTTCACCATATTATATTGGAGTTGATCTTCAGTAATTTCTAGATTACATTCTTCTTTTTGTACGTATTTATATTTAATATAATTGGTATAATTCTCTCAGACATTGATATTTATCTCCAATAAGGGAAGTGGTCTTCTCGAGGGGCCTATTTACGAGCTTATTCGGTGAAATACCCCAAAAATATACGTGAGAAAAATTTAAACCCCAGAAAAGAATTGCACTACTATCCTCTGTAACAACCTCCTCATTTCTGTCTCTGTCTCTGTCTGTCTGTCTGTCTGTCTGTCTGTCTGTCTGTCTGTCTGTCTGTCTGTCT